CCGGGCTGTCACCAAGGTATCGTCTGCATAACAGATTACACCCAGCCCGGGGGGGAAATCGGCGCGAAGGGCCCAGTCGTACCCTATGTTCCACAAGAGGGGTCCAAGAACAGACCCCTGTGGAACACCGCACGACATGGGCCGACACCTCAAATAACCTTCTCGGTCCTCGTACACGACGGTACGCTCCTCTAAATAGTCTGCCACCAGCCGCCTCAGGTACTTTGGCACCCCATGATAGTGGAGTGCTTCCCTGATGCAGCTGAATGGCAGACTATTGAATGCGTTGGCGATGTCTAATGACACCGCCAACAGCACGCCGCCACAGCTCACGGCCTCTTCGGTCACGGCCCTCAGGCGCAACACGGCGTCGACTGTCGAACGCCCCGCCCGAAAACCAAATTGGGCGTCCGACAGATCGGGGCCCACCTCGCAGAGGTGCCGGACGATGCGGGCAGAAAGAACCCTCTCAAACAATTTGCCCGCCTCGTCCAGCAGCACGATGGGCCTATAGGCCGCGACCGAATCGGCCGGCCGTCCCGCCTTCCTCAATAGGACCAGCTTCCCGCTCTTCCAGCACTCAGGGAAGCGTCCCGACGCCAAGCTAGCGTCGAACACCTCCCCGAGGCGGTCTGCCAAGTGGTTGAGGGCCAGGGCCAGCACTCGGGCCGGTACCCCGTCTGGCCCAGGGGCGGTGTTCTTGGAACGGATCCGTAGAACAGCCGCCCCTACCTCCGAATCCCGGACGGGCGGAACATTTTCCTCCCCGTGCTCCCCGTCGTCTCCGGCCAAGGAGGCCATCGCCGGGGGAGTGTGTTCCGCTCGTTGCGGGAAAAGGCCCTCAACCACTTCTCGCAGGAAGCTGGGCTGGAGAGTCTCCGTAAGGGGGGGGCCCGACGCGCGGAGCTTTTGTCGCACCGCGCGGTAAGGGCGACCCCAGGGGTCACGATTAAGACCCTCCAGCATCTCCTGTCTTTTCGCTTCTTTGGCGCGGCTAATGGCCAGCTTCAGAGTTTTCCGCGCCCGTCGGTACTCCTCATGAAGCCGGTCCTCCTCACCGTCTCCACGGTGACGCCGCCGACTGCGCGTGTAGGACCTCCGGGCACGTGTACAGGCCGCACGGAGGTCCGCCAGCTCCTGGGACCACCAGTAGACCTCCTTCCTTGGAGGCCGACGACCTCGAACGCGGGGCATGGCCGCATCGCATACATGCGTAATCGCATCGCGAAAGCGGCCAGCCCCCACGTCGACCTCCTCGGTCGGAGCCTGAGGAGACAGCCACGAGTGAATTATGGCTGCCTCCTCTAGTAGGTCCCGGTTCAGCCTGGCAACAGCCCACCGCGGAAAGCGGGATAAACGCCGCGCCACGTGACCCCTACTGGAGTCCTGGGTCCGGGAGAGCTCAAATCGGATATACAGGTGATCCGAGAGCGTCTCAACCTCTTCCAGGACACGCCAGTTCCTTACTCGTGCGGCGAGGGCAGGGGTAGCGAACGAGAGGTCCACTATCGACCCCCCCTGCTGTCGCACGCACGTGTTGGTGGAGCCTCTGTTTAGGAGACAGAGGCCCACCGAGGCCGCCCACTCCTCTACGGCCTCGCCCCTGGCGTCCGTCCTGGGGGAACCCCACGCAATGGACTTTGCGTTGAAGTCCCCCAGCACAAGGACGTGCCCAGACGCTAGTCGCCGTATCGAGGTCTCCAAGCTGGTTAGGAAAACCTCGAAGTCGTTCAAACTCCGGTTGGGGGAGAAATATACACCATATATGGTGATCCCCCCCCCACTCGACGGCAACATATCCAGTGCCCTTGTCTCTTAGCGACAAGGGCGGGGAATGAGCCGTCGTGGAACCGACGACTGCCACGGAGCCGTCCCAGTCACCCATCCAGTTTGGACGGGGAGGGACAGAATAGGGCTCCGCGACTACGTCAACACCTATCGACCACTGTGCCATGGTTTGCAGGAAGAGATCCTGCGCCGCGGCACAGTGGTTCAGGTTCGTCTGGACCAGGAGGTTGGAGACTTGATCCATTACTGGATCGTCTCTACAACCTCCTCCATGGGCGACGACGTCGACGCACAAACTACATCGGAGGCAGCCTGGGTCGACTGGCTAACCCCCGACGTCTGCCGAGAACTGCGGGGAGGCTTGCAGCCTCTCTGATCAGCCTCAGCTGACCCACACGGCGCCAAGCCCTCCTGGACCGGGGCGGATGGTGCCGACCCTGACGTTGTCCGCGCTGCACCCCGTCTTCTCCCGGATTACAGCGCGGACATCTTCGGCCGTCACAGAGTCGTCCAGGCCCGAGATGCGCAGCTCTGCGCACTTAGTAGGCCTGGCGATCTTTACACCATCCGTGGCTGTAAAGAGTCCCCGCAGCTTCTCGGCAAATGTGTCCGCCGTTTTAGCGCCTTCAGCCCCAGGGAACTCGAGGACTCGAGCTCCCGTCTGGGCGAGGCGCATTCTGACCCCCACCGTTCCAAAATCGTTGGCGAGGCTGTCCCGGGCCTTTTTGAAGACGGCCGCGTAGGACAGCCCGCCGTCCGCCGCCTCCGGGGACACGGTCACCACTACAGCCGCGGTTTTGGGCGGCTGCAGCTTCCGCGGCCTCTTTGTGGAGGCCGTTGCCACCGGCGGCGAAGGCTGGGCTTGGGCTGCTTTTTTGGCAGCCTTTTTGGCCCGCCTTCGGGACTTCTTGGAGCCCCTCGCCTCCTGCCAACCCTCGTTGGAGGGGGCAGGTGCGGAGGGGCCCGGCAGGGGTGTCGGAGTGGGGAGCGGAGGGAATGCCACTCCGCTCCTCGGCGCCGTTTTAGGCCCCGTCTTGGCCGGCGCCTGGGGATGTGCCTTGGCCGGCGCCTTAGCCGGTGCCTTGGCCGGCGCCTGGGCCGGTGCCTTGGCCCCCCTCCTCGGCTTTTGGGGAGCCGATGGAGTCGGGGCAGACGCCGCCGCCGCGTAGGAGACGCGGCCTCCCACTACGGGGAGCGCGGTCGGAGCGGCGGCCTTAGGCCGCTGTGCCGACGCGAGCGGGGGGCGCATAATCGGCGCAGGAGGCAGTCTCGCCTCCAGGCCAGCCAGGCGTCCGTCCAGCATATTCCCAACTGCGATGAGGATTTCTCGCAGCTGGGAGTCAAATGCCCCTGAGTTGGTGGTAGGGGCAGGCTGGGACGCGGACGGGGCTTCCCGCTCGGGGAGGTTCGCCTGGAAGCGGGCGAACTGAGCGCTCAGCTCGTTCACCCGCTCCGTCAGCTTCTCGTTGGCCACCTGCAGGCGAGAGACGTCGCCCGCTAGACCCTCCACGACCTCCGACAAAGCGGAGGAGGAGTCCTTAAGGGCCCTCACAAACGAGCCCTTAAGGTTCACGGATTTGGTGGCCACCTTGTCGATGACGGCCACCGCCGCTTTCGCCCTCTCCTGCACGGACACGGGAGCCTGGGGGGCATTTCCCCCCACCGGCTCCCGAACCTTGAGCAGGAGATCCGCGATCTCCTCCTCCGCTACGGCCTCGCCGTCCACCCGTACGTTCCTGTACGACTCCGCGTTGGAGAACGCGGAGCCTGACGGGATCGCGACCGAGGCCGGTTTGCGCGCCCTCCCTCGGCGGCTGCTTGCCACCTTTGGTGGCATCATTTCGCCGGACGTGTCGGTTTCCACGTCCCCTGAGCGTCCGCGTTTCCGGCTGTCGCTCCGCTCCGCTTCCATGGCCTCCGCGCCATCCGATGAAGCGGCGGATCCGGAACGCAGCCGATCCGATGCTCTTCGGCTCCCAGTGACCAAAGTCAGACTGACCTCTGGGAGCCCCATCGAGATAGGCGTTCCCGACACCATCTCGCCCTCAGTGGACGACCCATCCGCTCCACTGTTCTGCTTTTCCTTCCTTCGCTGTGCTTCCTTTTCCGTTAGGCTTGCCTTTTTCGTTGGTTGTTTGGTTCCGATCGTCTTTTTTGGTTTTTGCAAATTATCCATAGTAAATCCCACGAGTGGGGGAGAACTAAAGGTCCACCCGGGCAGAGATCCCCCATTACCCGGGCAAGCGTAAGTTTTTAACCCAACCGAGGGGTCCGCAGGTACCTCGGCTTGGAGTGCGCTCGCGACTGAACTTCCCATCAGCCATGCATCCCCTGGCCACGCACCAGAACACGGGATTCGGGGAATTTTTTAGAGAGGTTATCTTCCTCGCGGTCCGGGCGGTTAAGCCAAGACCCTCGCCCCCGATCAGAGCCGCGAGACTTAACCACAGCGCTCTTCTCGGGATTGCGATATGCCGACGGTTGACAGGGAGACTACGTCCCCCTGCCTGCTCGGTGGTAGTGTGAGTACACGCCGAGCCCGTCCTCCTTTCTCCACCGCTATCAGCGGAGAAACTGTGGCCCCTACAGGGCCCCACCATCAGGTTTTTTACCGAGGTTTCCTCCTCCATGCTCCGAAGAGCGAAGAGCCAGCAGGGCAACCGGCAGACACGCCCACCCTGCTGGACCAGGCCTTGCCCGAGAGCCGATGAACGGCTGCCTCTTCTGCTAGAATATTGGCCGCTGGCGATAATCCTCTCCTCCAAGAGGACAAGGAGGAAACAGTACCATCGCCAGCGTTTCCAGGGTGCACCACGAGGAGGTTTTCTAGCCCAGCACCCCAAACCCTATACCAACCCGTCTGGCCAGCGTGGTATAGTAGGCCAAAACCTTCTTTCTAAGGAGAGGTCTATGTCCAGTAGTGGACTATTAAAGGCTTTTGATGTGTGATATGATATAGGGTAGATATTTAAAAACATCTATTTCAATAAAAATGTGAAATTTAATCATTGAAATCTAGTTAAATTAACTAAAGTACCTACCTACTGAAGCAACGGATTATTCGCTTCAGTGTTACTGTTTATATATAAGTAAATAAGAAACTTTAAACTCAACATCTATGTTGAATGGTCATTATAATGTCCTTTTCACCTTTATTTTTGATTTGTTGTAGGTGTGAAATGTGGGCTAAGTGAGTGAACGAAGCGTAAGCTATGGCGCTCACTGTGGTGGCAGGCGGAGCGCTGCTCTGCGCCCTCAACGTGGTGCTACAGGCGCGCGCCTTCACCCTGCTACCCCATGACGTCCGCCCCGGACATGCTGTTCAACATTTCATAGGCAATCACTCGCGGTACACACTGCTCGACCCAGAGTTCACATCTTATTTCACTCTTCTTGATGATGGACTTCTTATGACTACAGCAGATTTAACACCATTACTCAATCTGCCTATAAATCTGGCTGTATTAGAGCAGACTCCTTACAGTAGTTCTGCTCATTCCATTCACCTTTTGGTTATGGATCGCCGACAGATGCTTCATTTCTCTACGCCAAATGGTTTGATAGGAGAAATTCCGGAAAATTCACCACCTGGAACAGTCGTATATCTACAACCTATTAGGGCCATGGCTGTCCTTGACGTTGGACCACTAGCATATAAGATCATTAGAGGCAACGAAAATTCAGTGTTTTCATTGCGAGAAAAGGGAAAGAGTGTAAATAACCCTGAAGTTAAGTCAGTTGTCACGGAAGGTGATGTAGAAATGATTGCAATGAAAACTTTAGATACCGAAGAAAAGAGTTTCTATGAGCTAGTAGTTCAAGCCACTGATATTCATGGAGCGAATAAAGCAAATTTAAATATTCGAATTGATGTTACTAACGAAAATGATCACGAGCCGATATTTGACGAACAATATTACTATTTTGCTGTAAATGGAACAACTGATGAAAATGGACCGAATGGAACTGCTCATTGGGAACGGTTCTCTACCATTGGACAAGTTCAGGCTTATGATGCTGATGGAGATCGAATTTATTATTCGCTACAAACACCAACTAATCTGGCTGTAATAGTGCCTCAAACTGGAGAATTGATATTAGTAGGTGAACCGGATGGCCATGAGACCGAGTTGAAAGTTATTGCACATGATACGGGTTCCCCGCCCCTTAAAAGTCAACCTGTACGGGTCTTTCTGGAATTTGTAATCCGTGATCATAGAACATTACCAGTCCTTCATCGCGAAAAGCGTCGTGTAACACGCGCTGTTAGACCAACAAAAAGAATTGAATTTACGGAAGCTGACGGCGAAGTGGAAGGACGTGCTGTCTTTACCTTAGAAAAAGAAACTGATCGTGAGACATTTAAAATTCGGGACGAAAATCCGTGGGTTACTGTTGAACCAAGTGGTGTAGTGAAAGTTAAAAAGAAGTGGGACTATGAGGAGCTAGGACCGGAGAAGACCATCGATTTCTGGGTTACAATTACCAACGCTGGAAATGGAGGTAAGTCGAAATATTCCAAGATATTGAAAAACTTAATCGTTTTATTTAGCAATGCAGTAACTTCAGTAACGGACATTCGTTAACAGAATTTAAAAAAACCTTGTATAATATTTATTGATATTTGATTGATAAACTAAGAAAAAGAGTACACTACATGTGTATGTTAAATATTACACATATTTTATACAGACATATATTTTCACACTAAAATTTTACTTATTAGATATCTTGTTTACTATTTTACTACTGCCTCATCTTAGAAAAAACATGCTATTTTTGCTTTCATTAAAAGTGCAAAGTGTTTATAGTACATTTGTACACATACACATTTCAATTGAAGCATCGAGCAAAGCAAAAGCAAGAATAACAAAAATGAAATAATTGCAATTAGGGATAAAATTTTGCTGTTAAATAATATCATTTTTTATTCATCTAAATAAGTCAACATACTATCAAAACAACATTATTATTTTATAGTCCAGCGAATGACGGTTTTGAGCGAAAATCTACCCTATGCTGATGTGTGCTTTTTCGCTAGGTGAATACCACTCTAACTAGAGGTGATAATTAAAAAAAACAGTAATCAATAGACGAATGAATTCTAAGCTAAAATGTTGTAAGGAAGTTTTTCGAAAAATTCGTGATCGAAAACGTCAATATTTTTCGAAAATCAACACGTTTTACAAATAACTCAAAATATATTGATTTTATAAAAAAAAACTGTATAAATCAAAATTATAGTTAATAAAAAAACAAAGAATATTTTTTTTTAATGTAGGCCCAACACAAACAAAGTTTATAGCTTATTGAAGGCAGGCCTTATTTTTTAATGAAAATTCAAAGGTTTCGCTAATGCATTACGAAAAAACGATACATTTTATGATGATAGTGCTGAGATCCTTTTTAAAGAACATTAAAATACCTTTGAAAATGCGTTTTTATAAAGGCCTCTAGAAAAATTTATATTTACTGTAGTTTTAAAATTATCCAAGAAATGGCTTGTCAAAGTTAGCGTTAGTATGAAATCAGTACCGTACCTTTAAAAATAAAGGGTTTGAGAAATATGAAACTTACATAAGCTTAGAAGCTATAAAATTCTGTACAAAATAGTTTTCTTTTTATGTTTCTGTTCCAAAATGCTAGTAAGAAAATATCAAAAAACCAAACGCATATTTTTTTTATTTTTGAGCACAGAAATGTTCCTATACTATACATCATTAGCACCTAATGAAAGGGTCTTGTGTCTGTGTGTATATTGTATAATATATATGTGGCGTCAAATTATCATCGCTGGTTCCTACAATTGATGCTCTAAATGAGCATACGAAACGATGTTATCTGCAGATTCAAGTTTGGCTGGGAAATAAAAATATGAAACCAACTGATAGGGGTGAACAAAAATTGAAGGGTCCTTAAAACTACAGTAATTTAGAATACTCCAGCACCACAGGAACTTTTAAAAATGATATTCTGCAATTGCAAAAAAGGGTGTGGTGCATCTTGTAGCTGTGGAAAAGTTGGACTTTTCTGCAACTCAACTTGTGGTGGATGCTCTGGTCAAAACTGTCAGAATAGCGCTCTTATTACAGACCGCGACGATGAACAACATAGATAGTGATGATGATCTTTTATTACATTAATAAAATATTATTTAGGAAATGAAAACTAATTAGAACAATTTTCTTAAGTTACAGGTTAAGAATACGATTTAATATATAATATACTAACTATTTATGTTTTATAACAATAGGGGTGTTTTGAAAGGGTATAAAGAATAAGTTAGGCGTTGAAAACTCACAAATAGTGTTTCAAACTATCTTTAATTAAAAGCTATAAATATTATTTCCTATGTTAAATGCGTAAATTTATGAATTTATCCATTTTGTCAAGTTTACACCCCGAAGAGTAATTAGCACATAAGGGTAAATTTTGAAGAGGAAGGTAGAGCTTAAATCCAAAAAAAAAACTTGAATAAAGTGGGAGGTTGCACCTTATTTTACCTTCATTCACTGAACTAATACTCGTAGGTTAAACCATAACATACCTACATTCCAAACAAAAGGTGTAGGATGCATGATTTTTATTTTTTGTTTAAAGTCATTCCGTTTTTTATTCGTGTATTATTTTCAATGTCTCTATCAAGGGCAAATTGAGATAATGATAGGAAAGAGTCGGGTGGGGTGGATACGTATCTTTTATTATAACATCTTCATATAAAAATGATCTTAAAATAAATTGTGTTAATGGTCGCTGTTTTATTCACTGGGTTTTAATGACTTAATATTGTTTATCTTATCAGTTTTAACAGTGTTTTAAATGCGTTTCATTCATAACATCTTTTATCGTTCGTATGCTTAATGGTTTAACTTGCCAATAAATCGAAAAGTGTGACTTCGATTCACACGTATAGGAAATACACTTTTGTAAGTTTTTTATTTGTAACTCCAGGGCACAGACTCAAAGACGATTTCGTTGATTGAATAAGGATTTTGTTTTAGTTACTAGTGCAAAAATTGTCTTGTAAAAAAAAAAATACAGTCAACAGTTAATCAAGACTTTCACCATTATACTAAAACATTTAAGTTGGGAACCATGAGATACAGGTTACTATAACTCTCAAAATAGCTATAAAATTTTTATGTATATACATATATATATACATATTTAATATGAAAGTGTTATGTAAAGTAATATAATTTGAGATAACTTCTCAAGAACACATTGCCAATGATAAAAAAATGGTTTGCATCCCGTAGATTTTTGTGTAAAGTGAGTCTTTATAATGGTTTACCGATGGCATCCACTTGTCAAATCGAATGGCGCAATGGAGCATGACGTCGTGAACAGGTCCCGCACTGTGCTACTGTCTAACCGGTCACGAGCCACGGACAGCCTCTGTAGCTCCCATCACGACTCGCTAATTGTTTACTCTGCTGGAACGTGTCTAGTTTCAACACAGAGCTTTGCCTAATTATTTTTCTACCCAATTTGTATTCTTTAGCATACTCTTTTATTATTTTTAATCTATTCGAAATTAATGATCTATATTATCATTTTTAATTTCGTGAAAAATACTCAAATTTCAAATGTTCTGAGTATATTACAAGAGGCAATATTTTTGGATCTAGGTTGGTAGATAGAGGATTCTATTTATTAATTAGTGAGGTTTCATAAAAGTAACAAAATTATTTTTCCTACTTCGCATGTGAGTCTATTAGTTTTTCTCTATTTTCTCATAGCGCTAATAACTACAATAGTAATATTTTGATTTGGCGCTTTATTTACCGTGCAAATAGTTTCCTAGCAATTTATCTAAAAGCGTGTCTATACATATAGTTCACGTTGCGTTTCATGACTTTCATATGATCTATAGACGTTGTTATAGAAGATCATCTTTCATAAATTAGCAATGGCACGAGTGCTTCCACACGTATCTAGCGTGTGGAAGTAGAATCGTAGTTGTCAAGTGGAATTGTAGCTGCCGGCAGGTTAGGACCACCGTGCAGAATGCGTTGATAATCGGGGACCTGTCGCACGGCCCGACTCTCGGTCTCGGCTTCCGATTCCACGCATCACAATTCGTGACAATTACTGAAGATGTACAATCTTTCACCTTTCTGTGATTTATAAACCTTTTTTTGTGCATGGGATATTATTATTACCGCTACTTCAATTGAAAATAAAAAGCATGTTAGATATGCTAGCTGTTGGCTACTATGGGTTAATATAACATTCCGAGGTAAAGCTACAGAGCAGAGCAGTAATGAAGCTCTTTACAATATTTATTTACTACATACCTAAAATCCGAGGTATATTGAGAACATCCGCCTAAAGTAGAGACAACCATCGATTATTTTCTAAATAATTCCTGTCAAGTTTTCTTCTTCTAATCAAGAGACCTATTTAATATAAAAAAAGTCTAAAAACACTAGACACGCTTAACATAATATGCTACAACTAGTTTGATTTAGCTATTATTAAGGAAGAGTTATTTTAAATGTTGTAAAAGATACCCCACACTTTTCACAATCATAATATTTATTTAATGACTTCTTTTTAATTGCGTATAATTAATCCGGTGGGCATTAAATCGCTATGGAGCAAATTTTACATTCACTGCATATCACTTTTTAGTTTGGTTTGATAATTAAGCTTGTTTATCTGTTTAGTAGTAGCAGTAATGTTATTTATTTATATACGTGGGTATTCATATTTACACTATCTTAACACCTGTTAACCTGGACAGACATACTTGTAGTAGTACAGCAGATTTCTTGTTGTACAACACCTTATGGACACGATAAACTTACTGGGTTATAAGGTTATAACATACATGATGGAAGCCAAAAAAGTTTTTTTGTAATATTCATATCATAGAATATTTCGTGTATTATTACTATATTATTTGTATTATTATTGTATTATTATTGGCTTTCGTGATTAAGCCGCTACAAGATCAAAAGAAGACATTTCAAAACATGACATGAAACACATACAATCAGTATAAATTAACTGACTCCATTTGTTTAAATTTTTTGGGTTTGTGCATTGCTTCTAGGTGTAAACATTAAGTAGATATATAATTATATATAATTATGAGAGAGATATATAGTTATGAAATGCTTCCGTGAGTCATATTTCTTTAAAAAGTAAAACAAAATTTACAAAGAATTTTCTTACGTATTAATATAGGGGTAAACATATAAACAAACTGTGCATCTTTTTTATACTTTAGTTATAGCAATAAAGTAATCAATATGAAATCATTGTTGCGTGTTTTTTTACTTAAAATCATTACCAACTAATCAAGTTTGAATAATTGATTTAATTTAATTAATGCCTCCTGTAACTTTGTGGCACTAGTACACTCAGCTTTACATTAAATAGCATCTACGTATTCTGCGTGTGGGCATTTGTTGAATTCATCTAATAGACATGTAGAAAAGAGGGTGAGGGTGCTCTCCCTAACATGCTTGAACCATTATTTTTCGTTTTTGTTAGAATACTCGGAACTCTCCGACGACGGAGGACAAAAAAAATCTAAACAACTGCGTAGGATTTCAGCAGAAATAAATCGCTTATT